GGAAGACTCGGGTATTGCGGTTAACAACACGCTCGATTGGTGACAGGAAACGATACATGTGAATTAACCATGAATGCTGTTTCGTAATCACTTTTTAAATATTTTTTATTTATGATGGGTGGATTAACAGTGAGGTTGCTAGGAAACATATTCTGATACATGATTTCGAATTGCATGCAATCATTTTTGCACATATATTTTCCATTATCGATACTAGAATTTTCTAAACTTTCGTCACGAGATTTGGAAGTTTTTCAACAATCCAGAGTCTTCAAACATACCCTGTTACGATCCATTCACCCTTATACAGTTTCGATAACATTCCCCTTCTAATATCGGCCATAGAAAGCGTATGAGGCACGAAAGTTTCCACCTTACATCCCTGAAGTCCCCTCTTCGTTTGGCCGGTCTCTTCTTCCAGCCCTCTTCGCTCCCTTCTGCGTTTGCCAGGAAGGGTCCTTTTTTTCGTCTTTTTCCTCCACGGTTGTTTCGTTCGATTTCTTCCTTTTCCACCGCGTCACGGCTACTTTTGTTGCGCCTCTCTTTCCTTCTTCTTTTTCCTCTCCTTCTCTTTTCCACCCCCTATGCCTACTATACTCGAGGCTCCGTCTCTCGTCCATTATTGGGGTGAGAGAAACAGAGAGAAAAATACAGAGGAAGGAGAATAAACCTTTCTCTCCTTCTTTTTATTACAACTCCTTCCATCCACTTCTTCTTCCTCTTCTTCTTCTTCTCCTCTCTTTCTCTTCTTTCCACTCTTCTGGGCACACTGGTTGTTCCTTTTGTTTCCAACGAGTAAGTGAGTCAGTGAGAGAGCAAGAGAATGACGAAGACGAAGGAACGAGAAGGATAGAGGAAGAGAGGAGAGAACTGGTGATGGTCGACGAGAGAGAAGAGACAGCGAAGCGTGTCTCGACACGCGAGATGCAGGATCGAATTCGACCCTTGGATCCGGATCCACGAAAGTCTCGATCTCTTGGATCATTCTCGATGCGGACGTTTCTTACCCCGTTCTTTTTCTATCGATTTACCATCGTAGGATTATTCTTTTTTAGATCATCCCGATTGGTTTATTCCATTCGTGTGGATCCTTGGTATCTATAGGGAAACATAGCGCGAGGCATTAACGAAGAAAACATTTATATTCTAACAAAGAAAAAAAGCGCTGGAAGACCCAGAATAATTTGAGAAGCTATTAAAATTCCCATCGGCGAAATTCAATTTTGTTCAGCTTATAATAGATCTATTAGTACCGTCGATCGGGCGTCGATTACAGCGTTAAAATGGTGTGTAAACGAGCTCGGTATAAGGAAGGACATAATCGGTAGCTCGTTATACGCATCGTGGATGCTGGCCGTTTAACACGAAGCCGCCCCCTTAATACGGATAGTGGTTCGAGTTCGATGAAGTTGTAAGCATCGAATAGACTCTGGTAGATAGCGTAGTAGGGTAAAAGGGAAAAAGGAAGAATCGGAATGCGTTAGCGAAGGGCCACTTATTGAACGTTTTCCATACGCGAATGCAGCTCCACCGTGAAGAGATAGTATGTACTCGTAATTCAGTAGGGCTCATTAATGTCATCGGCACCGAGCGTGTAATGCGGCTGCGATCTTTCACTATTGCCAATCAACGTTCACTGAAGCCTACAGTGCTGTCATTCATAACGAAACAGAGAAAAACGTTGTATTACATTTATATACAGTTGTCTGGTAGTGTCCCAAAAATATTTGTCATTTTTCTTCATATTTCTTCATCTTTGCTCTCGCTACAAGACTTTGACCTCCTTCCTCTCATCCTTCTTCGAGTAGTCTGTCCTGTTTTTTTTCTTCTTACACATTTATACCTGTCCAGGTCTCTTGTTTTTCTCGTGCAAAAAAATATTTCACGAATCATTATTATTGCCGAGTTAGGCACATTCGTTACCGCGGTTGATTGCGTATCATTTCAGACAAACTGCAGCATGCGAGCGTGACGCAGCGGGGTCAACACTCAATCGGTGTACAACGGGAGCTGAATGTGCACCGGGAACACAAAAGAGAGACAAAAAGCAAGGGAGGGAAAAAGAGAAGCAAAACGATACAGCAGTGCTACTGGTACTGTGCGAGAAACGAAAAGAAAGATAAAGATGAGACGAAGGCAAAGTGGGCTGGAATATTTCTACGGCGTAAGGGGAAAATTGATGGCACGATCGCGAATGCTCTTGTTGCTTTTTTTACCGTGGTAAAAGCTACCCTGACGAACCTTCGTTTCGATTTTTTTTTTTTTTCAAGCAACGATTAAAATTACTGGCGAAATTTTCGGGAGAACCGAGACGCATAATGTATCAGCGGTACAATCGCGTGATCGTTAAAAAAACCCGATCCATGGCTGGCCGAACGAAGTGGTGCTATATTCTTTATTATATCGGATGTAATTTGTGTTACAATTCGAAACACACAAAAGGCACGTTAGCACGAATACGTTGCTTTCTCTCTGTCACGATTCACGGATTCGATAGCTGAACGGAACTAATCACAATGGCTTGCCAACGATGCGGTCTGGCACAATTTCGTCACCTATGGTCGTCTAGCCTTTTCAATAGCCTCGTTCACACGTGAACGTAATAAAATCGTGACCTATCTATCGCATATAGGATTTAAACTTCCAACGACGATTAGGGACAAAATTCCTAATGAAGCGTCAGGAATAAAAACTCAGACTGTTTACTGAAATAAGAATATAGTTGCTGGTACTCTCTCCTCAAAGTGCAGGATCGAATTGTCTCGCAGAACCACCGACAAAGTGGGGTGCATCCATGAATTTTTTCCATGGTGACAGACCTTTGAAAGAATATATGTACCATCGGTATCGGTCGATTCTTAATTTGGGCTACGTGACACCGCGTCGCGATACTAAACAGATGGAAAGGCAAACTCGATGACTGTACGATTGCAATTCCTAATTGTACAATAATGTCCCTCGAGAAAAATCTTAACCAAAAGAATTCAGATTTGACAATATGGCCTTTCTTAGCCTTGTCTCGAGTCAGAAGTTCCCTTAAGAGGGGGAAGCACGGCAAATGGCCCACTCGAGCGTTCGTTTATTTCGACTTTTCTAACACTTATCTCGCTGAAACCTTGGTAATTTGAATTTCAAAATATGTTAGAATATACATATTAGGTCGAAGGTTCTCAGGTAAGTGCCATGTCTTTTGACACAGTCCTGTTGCCGGAGAGTCCCGAGACTCTCCCCACCTCATGGCGAGATCCTTTATTCCGAATCCTTATCTCTCTGCACGCGCTACGAAGCATCGACGACGTCGGGCCACCGGCCCCGTGTACGCATCCCCTCAATGCTCGGCACCAGAGCGTTAGGCCCTTTGCCATCGATATCCAACCAATATCATTTGCGATATGTACTTAGAACCGCGAGAATCTTTCTTGGTATGTATCATCACTCAAACCGCCGTCGAACCTTAATGATAGATTTAAAGTTCCAGTCATTGGCGATACAGTATACTTTCACAAGGCTCATTTCTGACACGTGCGTCTTCTAATAAAATAATTGACGCCAATAAACGTGTCTCTATTCATTTATTAGGGTGATTATAAAAGTTTCTGATTTTTGATCAATTTTTGGACACTGGTCATTTCGTGTCTCCCATAAGTGTCTTCGTACAGAGAGCTTCGGTAATATCTTATCTGGTCGTATCTTGTTTAAACACGTTCCACCTGGTCCCAACTCGTCACGACCCACGCCATTTTCTACTGTTGCTGCCCACGTTGTTTCGTAACTTCCCATGAGAACACTTTATCATGTATCGCTTCGTCTCTAGGCATTGTGCTTTTCCTATTGATAGTACGCAAGTGTCTTTGAGCAGAGTGCACCATAGAAGCAATTAATGAATCACCGATTACTGCATCAACGTGTTTAGAAAGCAAACACTGCAGTAACACGTGATAAGGCTTCTATTTGTCTACTAATCTTTCTGCTAAGAGCTAAAATTGCTTATATGGCGAGGTATACGCGTAAAGTTTGAAGATGAGCTGGACCTTTGACGTTGCTTGGCAAAAAGGATAACCAGGCGACGTATAGAATTAGCGAAATGGTCCCTGGCGGTGATTAGGAGGACCCTTTTAAAGACGATCGAATTACACGGTGCGCGGAATTCCCCGTACGGGACGATTTGTAGCAGTAATCCAGGCTTACCGTTCCCGGTGCTTGGATGCGCTTTAATATGATTTAAACCTACCACCGTGTTGGCTACCGTGTTACGATCGTGAAGCTGTGTTGTAGCCGTCTTATACGCAGTACCTTCCACTCGAGTCCTTGAGAGAAGAGCAGCCAAGATCGGGTCGTGATGAAGCGGGACAACGATACACACGCGTGCGTACACGCAAGAAAGTGGCGCGTAAAATACGTAGGCGAGGAGGTACCGGTTTTTTTCCGGGGCCCACTACTGCTGTTCCTCTTTGAATTTTAAATCTTTCTTGCTACCGAATGCAATTAAGCTGCATTCAAGCGACGGGCAAAAAAATTCGAATTCGCTCGATTAAACCGCGACCGGTGCCTTCCGTGGCGGCTTTCAACGCTCACGCGTTTATTTACCTATCGGTTACACGTGAACGTGCAACTTCGAACCTTTTCTTTTTTCGCTTTGATCACTCGTATTTTTTTTTTTCTTTGTAACTTTCACCTTTTTGTTTAATTCCGCTGTTAGTATGTATACCCCGGTGCAACGTAGACTTTCCTTAGATAAGAGGAAGTGTAGGAGGGGGGTTCAGATCAGGCTTTCCCTGGGTTCTTCCAAAACCAAAGGCAACCGGTAAGAAGTATCCCCCCGTTCAGTTATTCTTAGTCAAAGAAAGGTTACGTTGGACTCGAGTGCACGTGCGTCAGGGAACAAGCAAGACAATCGCTTTGAGGTAGCCGCCAAGTTGTGCCGACAAAGTCACAGGGCGACGTACGAACGAGTTACTTCACTGCGGTCCGCGCCTTGGCAAAAGTGACAAGGCCTCGGCAATTATAACGGGTGGCACAAAAAAAACGGCGCCTCGTCCACTTGGAATACTTCTTTCTCTGTCTCCCCCACCCGCTCCTTTCGTCCACTGCGTGCTCGGACATGCTGCTCGATATGCAACATTATCCGCGAAGCCTTTCTCCGTAGAGATCTCGTCGGATGTTCCACGGGATCTTGATGATCTCCATAAAATATTAAATCTCGACAATCTGGTCGATACGACGTTCCTCATTACCACGGACTATAAACTGTTTATTGAATTGAATTTCGCATCGGAGTACCGTTTATATTCATTTCCTTCGACAATATAACCGTTATATGACAACATAAAGAATGGATTATTGAAATTTGAATATTGTGTTAAATAACGAGCTTGAAACAATTGCAAATAGTAAAACGAGATGAAAATTGATCATACGATCGATTACAATCGATTTGATCTTCAATTTGCATGAAAATTGAACGAGTTGCGAATGGTGGGCAATATTGGTCTGATGATACGGCAACTCGAAATTATGATCAGTCTTGAATCATTTTAAATCATTTTATATCAAAGAACTTTTGAAAATGATGAAATACAGGTCGAAAATTTCCTGTTAACTTTAATGACAACTCAACTTAGGTAATGTTGCAATAACTGATAATATATTTTATAAAAAAATATATACACACTGCAATAAAGTTTAAAGTAGCGGCATCTAAACCATGCTTGAGGAAGGTGTTATATTTCCTCAGCAGCGTTCAGATGGCAGTAGAACAGCCTACGCAACCAGACTATAATTATCAAATAAAATAATATATATAGAAATAAGACAGAATATCATATTACTGAGAACAAACGAGTTTAATAAACTAAAAGCGCTATACTAAACTTGCTTTTATACGTTCTTCAACCTTTTGCCACGCCGTGATTTTTTCAAAAGGTACTACTCGCGCTATCTAACGAAGAGCGGCAAAATTCTTACCACTAGTAGTGTTATGATATAAAAACAATCAGTTGAAACAGTAGGATGTTACTCAAAAAAAATTTTTTTTACTCAAAACATTTAAAAACTAATAGATAAATAGGACAGCTGTTAATTTAATATGTAAGTCGCAGTGTGACCTTTGAGGTTTAAAGTAACACGGGCAAATTTTAACGTTTCTGTAAGTACAGGTAATTTTCATACAAATCATTTTATTTTATTGTAAAATATGGTCTAAATTTATTTCGTGTGGCTTTCTATATTTCTGAAATATTTATGCATGTATGTACTAAATAATATTTGAACTTTATGTATGTATATTTTGTCTCGTATTCATTTTATTCTGCTGAGTGCATATAATGGGTTGCTGGCTTATTATTAGATATTTTTGGCGCCATCTGACGCTGCAAGTTTTATCAAAATACAATTTTATTTTTTAATGAATTAAATGTTTATATGTCTGGCAATATTATAAATAATGTGTAAACATAAATCGTGATTTCATTATAATGGATCAGATACCAAAGCGGCAAAAAATTACTGAAGAATCGATCGTAAATGACATCGCGTTCTCCGTTAGTAAGTTTTTTTGAGTAATATTCTTTGTTTTATGATTGTTTTTATATTATAGTAAACATTCTTTTCAAATTTATTTTAAAGTTAATAATACGAAAATTACGTTTTTCTCTTCCTACCTTCTAATTGAAAAGTTGTACGTTGAGGTTATGTGACTACTGGATCTGTAGTCACTGGCATAACCTTACCTTATAAATACCAGTTGTATTAGAGGTTAAGGGCTAATCTTCATCTTTATTATTAAACATCATATTTTTTAGGCGAGCTGTCTTCAACTATTACCTCCATAAGCAAGAATTATGAGGTTTTATTAAAGGTTAATAATGCAGTAGCATTGTATATGCAAAATGCCAAGAAGCGTGAGACGTCGTTTGTTGATGAGATACAAAGTAGTTCGAAAGAAAGCATAGAAATAGAACAATAAATACATATTTAATCTTTGTAATATTTTATAGATACATATTGTATCTTAAATAATTGTATTTTCTCCTATCACAAAGTCTCTTGATATACAAAAATACAGTGACTTATATCCTGCAATGTTGAAGTAATACTATCACATAAATACTATAATTACATGGTGTATGTTGTAATTGAATGGCACACAGGGAGAGGGTCGAACCATAAGCATGTTCCATTAAATAACTGTCTTTATAAGTCTTGTGATCTATCTTTTAAATATCCATCCTTATTTGTATTCCGGGTCCTGTTTAGGTTTTCTTCTGGGATCTGTTGCGTCTAATGCAAATATCACCGGTGGTACATCTGGCTTTTGTGTTTGACTAAATCCATAATTAGCTCCTTTTGTGGCTGGAAACCAAGCCCTGGACAATGGTACTTGTCGACAACTGAAACATATCATTATAAGTATTAGAGAATTTCTCAATTCAGAAATTACATAAAAAAAAGGAAAAGAAACATGAAACATCAAATTTGCATGCTTTTAATAAACGCACAGTATGTATTAATGAAGTTTATGTTTGAAGAAGGCTACATATTGCTTCAGTTGTTTCCAATTTATGATGTTATTGCAAAAGCAGAGATAATGGCATAAAAAATAGGTAGAAATAAGATTTCTTCGAGTGTATTAGTTAAATTTTGCACAGAATAACGATTAAAGATTAGATTACGAAAAGTTAATGTTTGTCAGTATTAAAATGATTGCAAGAAATTGGTAAAAACGAACGATATATGCAGAAAGCGAACGCTTACAAGATATGCGAGAAAGTAGAGTGCAGTGAGAGAGAAGAGTTGTGTTATTCCTCTAGTAGTGGCCCTATTCTTTCCGTTCACACCTGCACGTATTTTGGTCGAAGTAAAAGCCAGTAGAACATTCTTGCTCCTCTCTACAAAAGCAGGTACAAAGTTCTGGATTCCAGATCTTCGTGTCGTTGTTCTTGTAACACTTCTCCTCCTCGTCGACGTTGTTGCACATGCATCTACATTCCGCTGGTATGTAGGATTGCTTCTCGTTACAATGCTGAGAAAGATAGTGTTCAATCAAAAAACAATCATCTCATATTTATTTTTGTATTCATTTGATTAATGATCTTAATTTCTTTACAAAATGCGCTGAGTGCGTTGTAGATTTCGAACGTGTTGATTAGAGAACAGTTATCTTCATGGTGTTCTAGTTTTCAGCCTTATCCGGTCAAGGTGAGTCTGGTAGACTCACAGACCTAGTTTTCTCAAATTATATGTCTAAACATTTTTTAAAAATTTATTTTAAACATAAACTACTCCGGATGAGACTTGAAAATGAACCCCTATGCATTTGTGCAAGAAAACTGCATTACAATGCAACAGCGTTCGCGAACTACGTAAGTTTGCAGACCGACTTATACCGAGTTGTACCGGTTTAAGAAGGAAGATCCCAATTATCGACTGTCCTCAAATTACCTCCTCCTTAATTCTGCAGTCGCACTGACATTTCGTGTGTTCCTCTAATGGCACAATCCGTTTGCCTTTATAGGTCAATCCATAAGATTGTTCGATCGACGTCACGAGCACCTTGAAAATACGTTCGTCATTATATCTATCTGTAATCAAAGCTGATGGAAATGTCTCATCGTTGCTTATCAATGCTGACCGATTAATCAGGTCAGCCTAAATGACTCACTTCGAAATTTCGAGTTTCCACAGCGGTCGGTTGGCAGGAAAGCAACGAATGGCTACAACAACCTCCGCATCTTTTAACCCGGGTGCATGAGGGGTAATAAATAGTTGAAGGATCGGTGTCTTGTTTCAGAGGAACTGTTTGTAATTCCGGTGTACACGTAGCTGGAACAGGTCGTTCCGCGTTCGAACGTTCACCGGTCTCTCCCATTCTACCTGTGAAACAAGGTCGTACTGTACAAGAAATTTTCGAAACCTCGAATTAGTCAGAAAATTTCTATTTTTCCCCTCCTTGCGGTGAGATTCCTGTGACGTCTTTTGTTCAGTATGGTCTTTGTGGTTTCTGGTTATCAAGAAAACGGGCTACCGGTTTGGGCATTAGTGCTGACATTTGGGTGTATTCGAATAGTCTGTCATAGCGTTTCTGACTCGATTTCTTTTAGGTTTCATAACGATGGACGAACGTATGCAAGCAATATCGTTCGCGAACAGCTACTTCGCTTTGGTCGATGGTCTTGCTTCCGGTTTAGAAGATCACTTATCCGAGGACGTGGTCCTAGATTGGTTTGGTAGAACGGTCAGAGGTAGAAGAAACGTAACCACCTTCATAGAAGCGCATAAAGTAAACTCTAGACATATATTCTCTCAGATAACACCAGTTGCTGGTATCGGTTATAAAAAGAAACATTTCAATCGGTAAGATCAGCTTAAGATAAAAATAAAAAAAAATAAATGGTAACCCTTGAATTCCCTTGTACAGAAAAAAGATCCATTCCTATCACAAATCATTGAACAAAGATGTCGATTTGTACAATGATGCAAATAAAAAATCGAACGATGAAAGGTTCTTGGAAGAATCAGAAGTGTCTCCGAAATGCAAAACTACGAAGGATATTAATCAGAATGAAATCGACGCGAAGGTAGTCAGCGAAATGGATGACATGTCTTACGATCTGTGCGAGGGTGATCTCAGTAATCTTTTCAAACTCGAGATCGCGTCAACCAACATAGAAGAGATCGAGCAAAGCATTAATAGGATAAAATTGGAAGAGGAAATGGCACCAACCATCAAAGCCGTCAAGAGAGAGTGTGGTCAAGGAGATGGACCTGCTATCGTTGAAACTAGCACGATAAAATACGTGGAGGCTGATGGAGAGATCGAATTCTCTAGGAAATTTTGGAAACGAGGCAAGGAATTTCACTTCTATTTTAATTTTATCCTTTCCTTAACAACACCGTTTGATATCGTGCCGTCTGTGTAAGTCGTCCTTCCTGATTCTTCGATCCCTTTCAAATGAGTAAACAATGAATTGTTCATTGAAGCGAAACGAGTTAGCATAAAAAAGCGTAATAGAAATCTCGTTTTATCGAATCACACAGATGCATGGAACGCGTATATCACTGCTGCGTCCAACGTTCACACTTGGAGGCGACCATGTAAATTGCAAATCGCGTATACCACTTTAGTTGGACAGCCAGCCTTGGAATCATCTCGTAGAAGCAGAAATACTGCAACACGCTTTGAACAGCCTAAAACTAGACTGCCTAGCTTATTGGAAATCAACGAGATCAGTAACAGATTGGTACCCAATGGAGACCATTTTGGTGGATTCTTAAAGGAGATTGATTTCTACGAAGATCGTAAGGAATTTTTGAAAAATCTGGGAACACAGATGATATCTAAAGATCCTGATACACCACTGTTCGCTCCTCACTATGTAGAGAACAAGCTTGTTTTCAGCAAACCATGTGGTAAAATCAGTGATAAAAATAGGGAGAGTAAGAAGAAGTTTAGCTTCAATTATCAGATTCATCTGATCATATACGAAGGTACCAATAAGTGCAGGATGAATCTTCTCCATGAATTTGAAAAAGCAAGAATTTAGAATTCAATACTCCAATACAGTTATTATTATTTTTTTTTTATTTAGGTATTGTTTTGAAGATTATTTTATGGGGAGAAATTATTGTTAGAATAATTTTTTTTTTTTGTTTAACAATTTTTTTATTGAAAATCGTTCTGTGATATTTGAAGGTTTTACGTTTATAGGGTACAGTGATGAGGTATTACAAGCCAATTTATTTTTTTTTCTTTGGTTTTGGTGTGGTATGGTACATTAAGATGTACCATATTTATTAGGTGATCTCACGTTCACCAGATAATCGAGTTTGAACAACGAAATTGCTCTTTTATCTAAGTGAATAATGTATTGCAGTATTGTTTACTAGCAATAATTCGAATAATTTACTAAGTGCAGCTGGTACCTGCGCTAATTGTATGATACTCGCTCTACGACGCAGTATTTTTGTTTAAATTTCAGTATTGTACAATGGTATTCTGAATTGTTATATTATCGTGAGAAAATCCATTACAGTTTTCTTGGAGCTCGAATAAACTGTGATCAACAAGATCATGCATTTTGTTTCTCAGACTATCTCAACCAGTTTTCCTTACGAATAATTATATTTATCGATTCATAATGAGAATCTTGTGCACTGATAATTATCCGTGAATGTACTTACCGCTAAGAGAAAAGGCCTCGCTATCTGGTACACCATGGACAAGGTTAAGGAACTCGTCAACCGATGTGACGGAATTAATTTTCTTCGCTAATTGCAGCGATCTCTGAAAAGCAATAAAGTTCTTGGTGAAACAGGTGTAATTAGTAGAAAATGTCCTCGCTTTCTCATAAAGCATTGCAACATATCCTCGATATTGATAAACAATCTAATCTGATAATCGAAGTCTGGACTTTCACCGGACATAATCGTGATGGTGAAAAAAAAAATTCTGACTTATCACTTACAAAAGTTGTCACCGCGAGAAACGTGTTAATCATCCGTTTTTTAAATACTGTTTCGTTTAAGAATTCAGATCTTTTGTCATGCATATCGTGTGTTTGAGAAGCCGACGGAAGATTGTGTGAACAATTGTTCATATATCTTGAATGTTGTTTTTAACAATGCACGAACTGGTGGTATCGCGATAAAAAAAAATGTATGTACGTACAGGTCGATCGTAATCGGCTTTTTTCAAAGGTACCGATGGTCGATTGATCGACTTTGGAATATTTGCAGATCCCCATCTCGTGAAAAAACGTTTGATCAAAGTAACGCAAGTCTAATAATAATTGTCACAGGTATTTCCCCGATAATATTCAATTCCTGAGTCATCAACTTTGATCGCGGATGCTCGTGTAACTGGTTCAACAATTACGAAACGATCGCTGGTCAATCATCCGAGAAATTGTAAAAGAACACTCGAAATACAGGCACTTGTTAATGCAAAATCCCATAGATCTTATGAAACGTGCGGTCGTTGAAATATTAATAGGCTTCCTGTGGATAAGGCGTTAAGAATGAATCATCGGTAGAAGGGTTAAAAAACATTTTCCTGTAGATTTTTGCGAGACACGTCCAAGTCGAGTGGCGTCTCTGGATCTGAAACGTTCGCCTTCCAACTTGGAACAGGTTCTGAACAAACCACCATCGCGTTTAGTCGCCAAAAAACGAAGAAACGGTAAGAACCGATTTCTAAGAAGCTTCGGTGTTAACGTATCCTTTCGATAAGTTCGATCGGGTTCATTCAAATACCAAACTAATATTTTGTTAAACAACTGAATCTTGAAATGAACAACGGTGTGCGATATCGATAACGGTATGCGGAGTATTTTATTAAACAGATTACGCACGCAACGATTTGCATAATCGAGAAATGTGCTGTCCCGAGACATTGTACTTTCTAAGAATCGTGGTTTCTTGACGTTTCGTGGTAATTTAATGTACATTACACAACTCCCGATCGATCCGCAATAATCTCGTTTATAACAGCAGGTATATAAAATAAAATCTGTTTCGACCTTGTCCGAAGGAATAGGTTCTTTACCTTGCAGCTCTCGCGTGATACGGTAGTTTTATTAATCGTAACCTGAATTTCTCTCTCCTTTCGCCTCCAAATCAATCAGCGAAATAGTATAGGATAATTCGAACAGAATATTCTTATAATAATTGTCAATCATACTCGTTCTCCGCTTAATTAACGATCTTTATCCCGCTAATCGATAAAATTAGATAGATTCTCGCCAGGTAATCGGCTAAGTATTCGCTGGAACGTCGAGTGACGGTGCTGTTCGATCAATTACCTATATCTTATATCGAATCGCGTACTTCGTGACGAGAATTCGAAGTGTTTCACTTCGCGATATCCTTGACCATTAGCGTTACTCGTCCTTCGACGTCATCCAGGAGGTCTTTACGGGAAAAAATCCAGCTCGCTCTCGTTTTGCTTAGAATGTCGTAACAATATCGGTATGTATCACGGACGAAAAGGAAGTGGCGCCTCGTTTCGTGTGCGCGCACAGAATAGCGGAAAAACACGATTGTAACAAAATCAAAATGAATGATCGAGTTCCGTATAATTCACGTCAATGCGTGCTACGTTCCTTTTGTCATTCGTGTAATTCGGGATGATATCATGGTGTTTTCACGATGTCGAAACAGGTTGTTTCGCTGCAGATGTGACCGGCATTCGATACTCTATATTGAAAACTTTGAGGAATTTCATTCGTCCATGATAATAGTACCTGCCACGCGCGTCATAGGCAAATTGGTTTTTAAACTTTATCGCTGTGTGTTACGTTTATCGTGTACGGTCTTTACAATGCTGGCGGGACAACATAATTGCGCTATTTGCCCAAGCGAGAACGTGGGAGTGTTATAACGCGAGGCTTGACAACGAAATTGTTTCGTCGAAGCTACGAATTATCCTTCCATTTTGCGCCCTTCAACGACGTATGTACGCGTCGTGAAAATTTTTTACGAAACACGTGAGAAACACCACCGACATCAGCTGGGAAACGGATGATACCACTGCGACGTATATATACGTCATCATGAATGGCAAAGAGTTTCGATTATTATACAACCGACATAAATCAGGTTTTAACAAAACAGAACACGTATTCATCGACTCACCTCCAGTTCGTTGTCAGTAGCTGCAAATCTGTTGGCTGGTTGCACGGTAGGCTTCGACTTTCCATTCCTGCCGCTCGGGCCAGGGAAAACCAAGCTGTCAGAATCATGGTGGAAGTTGAGGTCGTCGTTCTGTGCCACGACCAATCCACAGATAATTGCGAACACGATCGTTTTACGTCTAAAGCGATACATGCTTCTTCCCTTGTGCGCGCTCGCTAAAATATCAGTATACAAAAAGATCGTTCGTATGCAAATTGTTTGACGCGCGACCAGAGTGTTTCTTGCCTGCAAACGTAGGCAGGTGTTTGGTGGCGTCAGTAATTCGTTAATTACTAGGAACTTAGGTAACAACACGTGTTTACGAGGCACAAGGTAGCGCAGTTTGCATTGCACTCGCACGGAAAAACCGCGACAAGTCACACCTGAGCAGGTTCCTCTGCTCGCGTCGCGATCGACTGCTCGAGCGAATACGTCTCGACGCGTATTTCTTGTTACACACACGCGAGCCCCTCACACGTACGAATCGCAATAGACCACACGATCAGCTCGTGATACGGTTCTATCTCTTTCTTTTTGCGTTAACTCTCCGATCTTTATCAGGGCGAAGGTGTTAATGGGCGATGCGTTATCTATCGGGTGCCAAGATAATTTGTTTTCTGTTTTTTTATTTTTTTTTTTTTGTTCGATGAAATTGGAGAGGAGCGAATATGATTGATAACGATTATTTTTACACCATGAGTGTGCAATAGTTGTGATAAAATCGGTGCGTTTGATCATTTCGTACATTTTATAAAAAGAAGAGAGAGGAAGGAGGGAGAAACTTGGTTTCGGGTCTGTTGGGACACTTGTCAGTATGACAAGTTAAATACGGGGCAATTAAACGCGGACTAGCGAGAAAAATCGTATAGGTCGTTAAAGATGATCCATCTAGTGGCAAGTGCAGATATTATTGCCACGGTTGATGTACAAGTTGCTCGACGAACAGATTTTCTTGATGGAGGGATCAAATAGGAGCGTGGGCGTTGGAATTTGCGCGCAAAGTTAAATTATTCGCGGGTTGCCCTGCATAGCGATGTATCTCAAGGTGGCAATTTATTTAACACGCGGTACATGTTTTGTAACATTATCCATATATCTTATCAAATAGGACAGGGGTGATATAATTAATTACAGTATTAGCAATTTATATTTGTTTTCATTTTAACTATGTCTAAAAATTTTTACAAGGAAATTTTTACAAAAATTTCTAATCATTTTTATAATATGGTAGTGTAGATTGTTCTATTTTATTCTCAACTTCGTAAAGTATTTTATGAATCATAGGATCTTGAGTGACACTCATTCCAGGCATGGTTTAGATTCAACGTATTGTTACATTACGAGGTACATTGATTACTTAGCTCATTGTGTCATATCCTGTAATTTAAAATTATAAACGCATCGTTAGCATTTATTTAAACACATCAAGTTCATGTTAGTACTGATTGTAAATTACAAATTAAATAAGGTTTCTATATTATCTGGTATAGAGTAAGGTTATCGGTGATCAATGAGTTAGGGTGTGGCATAACCAGAAGAAGGTAAATCTACATAAGAACGCGAATAAAAAATGTAGAGTGACATTTTCTCGTACGAGGCTACTTAAAAAGGCATGTGGCATCATCTACTGGTTGGTGCACCAAATGAACTTTTCAATTTCGTCGACAGGGAGCGCAAAAATTACATCGACTTTTATTCACCCTTTTCAACGCTAGAAGGCGCCACTAGTATTAAAATTAAATTTTGTTGGCGCGTTTCTTTGATGTTAAGATTGAAAATCGTTACTTTTAATCGACAAAGTTTAGTTTCCCGACTTTAGATCGGAAACATCCCGTATGTTTCAAACGGTTATCGTTATATTTTTTCTAACACATAAAGTTCACTGCAATAAAATAAACATGATACTTTACCGTGCCACTCGGCTTAAAAGATACGATTTTTCTGCATCCCAAGTTGCGGATATACCTGTAACCAGGCGGGCAACGTTTTCCACCGTTGGTATTTTTTCTCTGTGGAAATGTTAGAGGTCTAGATTCACTTGCAGCGATTAAAATGAACAATAAAAGAGTGAAACTAATGAAATGTAACAGCCTCATCGTGTACACTTAAAACGTAAACGATCCCCGTAAAACTATCGACAGTATTCGAGTAGAAATTAACAACTGAGTATAGGACAATGAAAATAGGCGTAATATCGTCCTTTTAATGTAATTCCCCACCCCATATTCGCTTTATTCCTACTAATTTGCGGTTACACTCCGTATCTTGCTCACGCACATGTGGTTTCTTTTTGCTAATCGCCTCTAAGATACCGTGAAATAGTAATTAACAATGAATAATTTCCTCAGATATCGTACACTATCGCTAAGTAATAATTAACTTACGTAAATTCATTTAGTTGTTGAGGAAACAGTCAGTTAACAGATATAGAAATGAATCGTAGTGTTATATCACAAATTAACTTTTATTTGTAATTCAGCATACAATTTACAATATAGTAATATTTTTTCGTAATTAAAAGTTCATTTATAGACAAGCGATAACATAATTTTCTCCCTTTGATAATCTTGATGCAATTCAATAATCTCAACCTTAGATTAATCATCTTTTTTTTCGTCGTATCAATTTTTTGTATTTTCTCTTCTTCTGGTTTCTATTTGAATCTGCATTTTATTAAATTTGAAGTTGGCTCTATTTTGCTCGATACGGATAGTTTCGATGTACTTCCTTATCGAGAGGTTGCTCTGTATGACAGAATGTGCGACAGCATTTGACACTGATCCATCAGGGAAGTCACCGCATCTGGAAGAGAAATCAATCAATGATTCAAATGTATCGTTAGAAATACGTGTCCAAGTCGACGTATGGCAATTAGTAATTTCCCCTATAAAAATTTTTAACTACATATAGAAGCTTGTTTATCGCGAGTAGTTTCGCAAGAGAATATCATAAAGTTCATCTTCTTTTTACTTTTCTCTCAATCTTCGTAGTACAAAACTTTGTACTCACTTAAAAGACAATCCTACAGCGATTTCCAACTCTCAATGTATCGGGCGGGCAATTGATTGGAACGGTGATGAACGATCCTTTCTCAATTTTGGCGACGAAGAATGGTATAAATCGCGTTTCTTCCTCGGATGAGTTCGAGTTTTCGGCACTGACGTGCAGAAAGAGGACGAATACTAACATCGTCGTGAACATCATGACGTCGATGAGTTTCATTTCGTGGTTACTCTAAATATTTAGTTAGCGAAATGTTCAAAGTATTTCTAAAGTAATCCTCTCTAAACACGCGTAGAAGACGTTGCTGGTAACGTGGTCAATCACGACTGAAGTCACTCGAATAGCATCACGACCAAGTTTCACGACTTGCGGTGACACTATCGACTAAGAATTTTTACGACTCCGCATTGGCGTCATGAAACCTGGTTTATCACCGTGATCTTATATTCGTTGATCCTCTGCTTTCGTTCCATCAAGGAGGATTACGGGATCGCATCTCCAAATGTATAAACATCTTGTCTCGCTGTTCACCTGAAAGATTACTTTATCAACGACGTACGTCAAGATTACCTTACTCTCTTATCACGAGATACAACGTATCTGGGATCAATGATAAAACAATTACATCAGATTTTCAAATTTATAAACGAGTGGTTTCCTAGAATGTTGTCTATTTTAAGAAATGGACGTTGTCTTGGCGGAGGAAACAGTTAGTTAACTTACTTTCTTCAAATAACGAGAGGTTTCTCGCAAACGGCGGTAGCTTCTGTTTAAGTCTGGTCTTAGCTCCCTACTGAGGCGGCATTTGTTCGAACGCTTTATGTACAGCTTTCGTTTGCTTGCGATAACCTATGTTGACACTCTTCAGAGTTCAACGAATCGCCAGAATCGAACAATTTTTAGTTTGAAGTAGAGGTGGTGGGAGATTGGAACGAGGAACTTAACCCGGCGGCTGTGAATACCGCGGATCCGCGACGGCTGATCATTGTGATATGCGTACTAGAAAGGTTCGCGTTAAATTTTCCTAATATCATTAATGATAATAATCCTTAATTCACAGCGAAAGCAATTATCACGGCTTATCATGTTTGCCAATTCGTAGATACGAATCGACAAGTTTCAAAAAGAAAAGAAAATTTTATGCTTATTCGAAGCGATAACCTTTAATGACGATTCTAGTTGTTTTCATTTCTCTATGCACTTTGAAAATTATTAATGCAAGTACTTACTTGCATTAATCTTTATTCTTTTGTTGAACAAATGGAACAGAACGTGGCGCCATCACGCGTTCGCCACAAAAGTAGTATAAAATGGTCGCGGCAAGTCGCGCGATAAGCGTCTCGTTCGCAGACGCGTTAAGTCTTGACAAATGATTCGTCGTTTAAAGGTTCTGCTGCGTTGGAAATTTTTCTCCTTATCACGACTCGAACACTGAATCCCATAAGAATTTTTAATCGTACCACGGCCACCTATCCATACCTGGATCAATTTCTTCGCGGTATAATCATCGCGTCCATTTGTACAAATTACAGTTCGATCCCTTTATTTGACTCACTCTCCAATTCTTTCTTCGATCGAGCAATTTTCAACCGTGTAATTGCACTTATAGACACATCCATCAACTGTTTTGCCTATTTACATCGTTAACTGTACTGCATCGTGTTGCAATGAATATTTTATTTCTTCTATGTACATCCTCTCGTGAGCAACCAAATACCATTCAAGCTTTAAAATTAATAATATATTACAGGAGGGTTGATCATAATTCCGAAATATTGATTATTGGACAAATGTGAAAGAAAAGATCGAATGGCGAAAGAAATTGGGCCAAGTCGGATCGGCACGAGGATTCTTGTTATCGGAGAGACGTATCTTGAGCGTTCGTTACGGTTATCGTGTATTCAGTGAAGGGTTGAGTTTTCCCCGGGGGGGTGGGGGTGGTGGAGGGCATGAATGTAAGTCGACAATGCTTTACGTGCGGATCGTGTCGAGGCAATTTCTCATACGTACGCGTCGCTGCACGGTCAGATACTTATCCGCGACTCGCTTTGCATGAGCGGAATCTCTAGGGTTGCGATGATCGATTATACTACACGTCGAATCGAACCTTTGAATTTTTTAAATCAAAACGAGCTTGCCTCGTCTCCATCAAACGCATTAAGGAGAGGTTATTTCAGTAGAATGGAGAAAGATTGGATAATTTTACGAGCCTTGAGAGATTACAACTGAGGTATCATAGATGATTAATTATGATGAAAAAATGATTAAAAAAAAACAGTTTAAATAAGCTGCGCATCCTCTTACCCTCGCGAGATAAGTTCCCACGAGCCTCGGTCTAGAAAGGCGATATAACAAGAGACGATTAAGATATAGTTATTTTGCTCGTCGCTTCCCTGGACAGTCAGCCTGTCGTGCACGAATGCAAACGT